TGCGCAAAGTACGGGCACCCATACGGAGCCCCTTCAGGCGCCCACTAAGCAGACAGGCATGACGCTGCCCCACCACCTCACCATACCGACGGAACGCGGCGGACAGCTCCTCATCAGGAAACTGCACCAGCGCACCATGAACGCTCACATACGTCAGGGGGCCCCACGGATCGGAGACCTCCACCGTCACAGCAGAACCTGGAAGTACATGCGTCCGTGTACCCCATCGACGCACAAACAGCTGATACACCTGCGCCGAGGAGAACGTCACCGCCACCCGGGTAGGGGAAAGTTTCTCAACACCGTAGAGATCTTGGTACTCAACACGCATGACGTCCATAAGGGCAACCTCCACCAAGGGCCAGTCAATGGGGGCCGAGAAATCAAGCCGGGCGGTGTCGACCCGGCGAACACGGCCACCACTAGTCGACGCCATGACACCCGCCAGGCCCCGGCCAATGGCCGCACCACACCGTCAACAAGACGACCACCACGCAGCAGGTACAGGTCAACACTGACAGCCCGGGCCGAACGTCAGCGCCCTCCGGTAGCAGAGCGGCGAATCGTTGTTTTGACATATGGTATGCCATTGACAGTAATTTATTGACACATAATGTGTCAATAAATTTATAGGCCCTAGGACTATTTTTCTGTGTTTTGATTTTTCTTGAATTTTTTTCTTAGTATTATATAAAACATTAGGAACCGATTACCTTGCCTACATTTGGTACTCATGACGTTATAAAAACAGAAGCTGCTGTCACTATACACACCCATACCTCAATACCAACGCTCCCAAGTGTCAGCCCTCAATACCCACGCTGTCGGAAATTTCCAACACCCCAGATACTAATCTAACTAACCATACTAACAGAAATTCTAGAACATGATAGGGAAGATTGCGTCAGCCGCCACATGTACGCGGTTACTATTCCTTTGCCACTTGATAGAAACTCCGTCGTTAACCTGCTTTGATTTGCATTTGATTATCTTAGATACAGTTTAAGTAATGTTCATAGCAATTGAGAAGAAAAATATCGCATATAAATAAGCATTTGCCTCCTTTCATTGGCAAATTTGCACCAAAAATGTATGCCGTGAATGTCAGCTGATGAGGGGAGGGGGGCGAACCACGCAGGTGTTGTTGAGCACCCGGAGAGACAGGCAGACACATCGCCGTGCTCCCCAGATAAGCGCCATATTTGGGCTTATAATCTCAAGAAACATCTTTCATGGCGGTGCGAGGTGAGCAACAGAGTCCTGCCGTTGAATGGAATACCATGGATCAAGTTGTCGCATTCTCCATACACGAAAGGCCGCATCCTGGTTGTGGTATATTATATTTCCTTGTTATGAGCTCTTAACATTAAAATTTCAACCGGGTTATGAGGCAGAATTAATAACAAACCCCAGTAAGCCTTTCTCCCTTTCATTGGGTATCATTTCATGTGTTATAGTGCTAATACAGTAGGCTGTTGCAGTCGGTTCATTGCATTACCCCGGCAGATCTACGTTTGCGAGGTGAGGGTGCTACCGGTTCCAGCACGTTGGAGTTCAGGGTTTGAGTACATGATGCAGTGACCATAGAGTCAACATATACTGCATAAATCATCTGATAACTAATCTCTTGTTAATGGTGGGCCAGGAGGAAATCTTAAGTCTAGCTATGCTGAATTTTATAACTAATAAGTTGTAGTGTAGTCTACTAACTCTTTAACCCTCAGTTATCTATAAATATCATCATTGAATTTATTCAACATTTATGGATTAATTATTTCTGAGCATTCATGAGAATATTACCTCCGCATTATATGTAGACTAACATTATAGAATTTACCCCCCAAAAGATGTGTATGGGAATCACTTCACTTTAAACCAAAGTTTTACAGTTCACTTCTCATTTTTACTTCTCAGTTCACATTTACATTTTTATTCTGAATTAATTATCAAATTTAATATTATAAGATCCATAGGTCACTTTCTTAGAGCTCGTAACATTTTTTTATGGTCCATATGAATCTGTGACTGATATTATATGCTGGAGCAAATTTCCCCCTACACACGCTCCCATTGTCAGCCCTCAATACCAACGGGCCCAACTGTCATACCTCAATACCCACGCTGCCAGCTGTCATACCTCAATACCCACGCTGCCAGCTGTCATACCTCAATACCCACGCGCCCAACTGTCATAACACAATACCCACACTTCCAACTGTCATTCCTCGATACTCACAATCAAAACTGACAGCCTTCATTACCAACACTCCCAAGTGTCAGCCCTCAATACCAACACTCCCAAGTGTCAGCCCTCAATACCCACGCTCCCAAGTGTCAACCCTCAATACCCACGCTCCCAAGTGTCAACCCTCAATACCCATGCTCCCAAGTGTCAACCCTCAATACCCACGCTCCCAAGTGTCAACCCTCAATACCCACGCTCCCAAGTGTCAACCCTCAATACCCACGCTCCCAAGTGTCAACCCTCAATACCCATGCTCCCAAGTGTCAGCCGTCATTACCCACGCTCCTAAGTATCAGCATGTTACGGTATCGACACCGTCGCTGGAGTATGGAGTGTCGACTTCAGCGCCATCTACGGGTCTGCACTCCTACTCCCTGGTATCTGGTGCAACTTGGACAATGCTCTCTGTTGGTGGTGGCGTAACAGTGGTGATTGGCTCCGGTTTCCTGCCTCAATCAGAATGTGAGGTCGAAGATGATGACCTCTGGTGGGTGGCATATCGAGATCAGCGTCATCTAGGTTGTGGCTACAAGCATAATATCAATTCCTCCGTTAACGAGTGATATCGCAGGGCTGCCCAATGTATTGTCCATTTGGCTAATGACGTTTTTATGTCCACAGAGGTGACGTATGGAAGCGATTGAGTTGAGGAGAGCAGTTCACCATGGGTAGTGCACAAACTCTTAGGTTAGTCCTGCAAGAGGACTAAGTAGCCGCCGTCGATCCGAGCAGTGTGTGTGTTAGCTGCTGATAATGCAGTGTTTTTAAAGACCAACGTACCCGGGATTTGCTCGTTATAGTTACGGAAGATAGTGATGTGTCTATTGTGAAGTGCTGCTAGCAAGCTACTAGAGACTTCTGCCAGGGTGTTAGCTACCCCCTGTATGTGTTAGTTTGGGACCCCTGTCAGCGTGTTGCTGAAGCCCTCTGCCAGTGAGTATCTGGAGAGCGAAGGTGGGGTGTATGCACATCGTGATAATGTGTGGGTAGGCTGGCCCTTGTAGAAGGTGAACACGCCAGTGTTTGCCAGTACGAGTGGATAACGTGTACCTGGAATGTGGCTTTACTGGGCTTGATGAACACTGTCGTTGTGTTGTGTTCTGCGTGAAAGAGTCGCCATTGTATAGAGATGTAGTTATACTTTAATATTATAATATATATATTGGTAAAGAAATTTGTGTATTGCTTATCTCCATCTCCTTATTTATGCATTGCACTACTACTTGACACAGCCAGTTCTCGAAATTTTACTACCGACTTGGAGTTGAATATAGGAAAAGAGGTTATAACAGCGAGAACCCAGTTACTGGCCCATAGTGACCGTAACACAGCTTTGATATCTTATTTAATGTGGTGTTCTTGAGAGTATCCTCATAATGCACCCAAAGTGTCAATCAGAGACTACTGATCACATGGCCCTGTATGTCCAGCCATCCTCTGTGATGGGGACATTTAGCATCGCGTAGCTAGTTCTAGACACACTCTGTACTCATCTTCATATAGTCTAGGTTAACTAGTTCTTGACACACTCTATAGTCCCCTTCATATAGTCTAGGGTAGCTACTTCTTGACACACTCTGTACTCCCCTTCATGTAGTCTAGGGTAGCTAGTTCTTGACACACTCTATAGTCCCCTTCATGTAGTCTAGGGTAGCTAGTTCTTGACACACTCTATAGTCCCCTTCATGTAGTCTAGGGTAGCTAGTTCTTGACACACTCTATAGTCCCCTTCATGTAGTCTAGGGTAGCTAGTTCTTGACACACTCTGTACTCCCCTTCATGTAGTCTAGGGTAGCTACTTCTTGGCACACTCTATAGTCCCCTTCATGTAGTCTAGGGTAGCTAGTTCTTGACACACTCTGTACTCCCCTTCATATAGTCTAGGGTAGCTACTTCTTGACACACTGTTACTTCCCTTCATATAATACAGTACATGTGCACATGTGTATATGTACCTATATGTTTTAATTAAATAAAAGTTCATACTATACAAAGCTACGCATAACTTTTTTGTTTAACTACGAAAAAAAAGTGAGAGGGGGAACAGTGTGAGAGGGGGGGAGAGAGGGAGGGAAACATCTTAGAAATGATCTAGCATGTTTCTTAGGAAACATTCCTAAGAAACATTTTAAGAATGATCTATCATGCTCTAGGAGGGTTCATCATACCTCTGGCATGGTCAATCATCCCCCTGGGATGATCCCTAATGCCCTAGAATGCTTCAGGATTCTCTTGGATGATCATTCATGCCCTGTGAGTGCCCGTAATATTCCTGAATGATTCACCAGACTGTGAGATGGTCCTTCATTCCTCACAATGACACTTGTTATTAAGACAAATAAGTCCATATATGACCAAATATTCACCATCACTGAAGGGTTCGGACGCTCTCCAGTATTATCTAGACAAATAACACACAAATAAATTGTTAAACAGACGAGGAAACTTGATGTTGATGGTCCGCCTCGCCGAGGAACGCTGGGAACGCCCAGTATTTTGTCCTCTTTCCGAAAGGTTCTGTCTGATAATGCTGGAAGTTTTAAATGAAAAACTTTTAAACTGTAAACACACATTTTCGGTTCCAATGACCGGGTTTTATTCATGGTATCAGAGTTAAAATCAACAGGAAATTCCATTGCCTGAAAGCTGGAATGAGAAAATCTCATTTGGTTGCCATTTAACGTCAGGGATGAGGATCCGGCTTGTACTCAGTGGTGGTACTCTGTACGGGGTGGAGTTGAGAGGTGGCTTGTACTCAGTGGTGGTACTCTGTACGGGGTGGAGTTGGGACGTGGCTTGTACTCAGTGGTGGTACTCTGTACGGGGTGGAGTTGAGAGGTGGCTTGTACTCAGTGGTGGTACTCTGTACGGGGTGGAGTTGAGAGGTGGCTTGTACTCTGTACGGGGTGGAGTTGAGAGGTGGCTTGTACTCTGTACGGGGTGGAGTTGAGAGGTGGCTTGTACTCTGTACGGGGTGGAGTTGAGAGGTGGCTTGTACTCTGTACGGGGTGGAGTTGGGAGGTGGCTTGTACTCTGTACGGGGTGGAGTTGAGAGGTGGCTTGTACTCTGTACGGGGTGGAGTTGGGAGGTGGCTTGTACTCTGTACGGGGTGGAGTTGAGAGGTGGCTTGTACTCTGTACGGGGTGGAGTTGGGAGGTGGCTTGTACTCTGTACTGTACGGGGTGGAGTTGAGAGGTGGCTTGTACTCTGTTGTTGGAGGTGCTTGTACTTGTACGGGGTGGAGTTGGGAGGTGGCTTGTACTCTGTACGGGGTGGAGTTGAGAGGTGGCTTGTACTCTGTACGGGGTGGAGTTGAGAGGTGGCTTGTACTCTGTACGGGGTGGAGTTGGGAGGTGGCTTGTACTCTGTACGGGGTGGAGTTGAGAGGTGGCTTGTACTCTGTACGGGGTGGAGTTGAGAGGTGGCTTGTACTCTGTACGGGGTGGAGTTGGGAGGTGGCTTGTACTCTGTACGGGGTGGAGTTGAGAGGTGGCTTGTACTCTGTACGGGGTGGAGTTGGGAGGTGGCTTGCCCAGTCTTCATCTTGAGCCACTCTGGCATATATACTAGAGCAAGGACTGCCATAGGATTGATTGACAGGCTGCTAGGAGTCAGATCCTCTTTATTATATATTTCATATTTATATACAGTTTTTGTAATTAGCAATAGAGTAGAGCCGGTCTTACCAGTAGAGTAGAGCCAGTCGTAGCAATAGAGTAGAGCCGGTCTTACCAGTAGAGTAGAGCCAGTCGCAGCAGTAGACTAGAGCCGGTCTTAGCAGTGGACTAGAGCCCGTCGTAGCAGTAGACTAGAGCCGGTCTTAGCAGTAGACTAGAGCCAGTCGTAGCAGTAGACTAGAGCCAGTCGTAGCAGTAGACTAGAGCCAGTCGTAGCAGTAGACTACACCCAGTCGTAGCAGTAGAGCCAATCGTAGCAGTAGAGTAGAGCCAATCGTAGCAATAGAGTAGAGCCAGTCGTAGCAGTAGAGTAGAGCCAGTCGTAGCAGTAGAGTAGAGCCAGTCGTAGCAGTACACTAGAGCCAGTCGTAGCAGTAGACTAGAGCCAGTCGTAGCAGTAGACTAGAGCCAGTCGTAGCAGTAGACTAGAGCCAGTCGTAGCAGTAGACTAGAGCCAGTCGTAGCAGTAGAGTAGAGCCAGTCGTAGCAGTAGACTAGAGCCAGTCGTAGCAGTTGACTAGAGCCAGTCGTAGCAGTAGACTAGAGCCAGTCGTAGCAGTAGACTAGAGCCAGTCGTAGCAGTAAAGTAGAGCCAGTCGTAGCAGTAGAGTAGAGCCAGTCGTAGCAGTAGAGTAGAGCCAGTCGTAGCAGTAGAGTAGAGCCAGTCGTAGCAGTAGAGTAGAGCCAATCTTAGCAGTAGAGTAGAGCCAGTCGTAGCAGTAGAGTAGAGCCAGTCGTAGCAGTAGAGTAGAGCCAGTCGTAGAAGAGAGAGATAGGGAGAGAGAGAGAGGGGGGGAGAGAGAGAGGAGAGAGAGAGAGGGGGGGGGGAAAGAGAGGGAGAGAGAGAGAGAGAGAGAGAGAGGGGGGGGGGGAGAGAGAGGGAGAGAGAGAGAGAGAGAGAGAGGGGGGGAGAGAGAGAGGGGGGGGGAGAGAGAGAGAGAGAGAGAGAGAGAGAGAGAGAGAGGGGGGGGGGGAGAGAGAGGGAGAGAGAGAGAGGGGTGATGGGAAGGCGGCATATGCTGATACGGAGATTGACAGGCAAACACATATGTACCCATAAATTATCATTCACATAATTTGCCTGGTTTCACTGAGCTCTACAGATAAGAGTTAACTATCTGGTGATAAGATTGTGAGCGCAAGCTTGTGTCCACCGTCCACGTCCCACTGCAGTTACAGCCACGGTGTTCACGGCTTCTTCCTTCCAGGGACACTAACTCTGCAACATGAGTCTTCCACGGACTCACTCTGATACACGAGTCCATTACTTGCAACCTGCCGTCAGTATGGTGTGTCCTGAACACCTTGTGGAGGTCACAGTGGTGGTGGTGCATTAGTCACCCAGCAGTGGTGGTGCATTAGTCACCCAGCAGTGGTGGTGCATTAGTCACCCAGCAGTGGTGGTGCATTAGTCACCCAGCAGTGGTGGTGCATTAGTCACCCAGCAGTGGTGGTGCATTAGTCACCCAGCAGTGGTGGTGCATTAGTCACCCAGCAGTGGTGGTGCATTAGTCACCCAGCAGTGGTGGTGCATTAGTCACCCAGCAGTGGTGGTGCATTAGTCACCCAGCAGTGGTGGTGGTGCATTAGTCACCCAGCAGTGGTGGTGCATTAGTCACCCAGCAGTGGTGGTGCATTAGTCACCCAGCAGTGGTGGTGGTGCATTAGTCACCCAGCAGTGGTGGTGCATTAGTCACCCAGCAGTGGTGGTGCATTAGTCACCCAGCAGTGGTGGTGCATTAGTCACCCAGCAGTGGTGGTGCATTAGTCACCCAGCAGTGGTGGTGCATTAGTCACCCAGCAGTGGTGGTGCATTAGTCACCCAGCAGTGGTGGTGGTGGTGATGATATATATTAATTAGGCAGTATATGTGATTGTAATTTTGCTGTGTGCAGCTTCGGAGGAAGTAATATAAAGACTGAAGACACTGCCAGGCTGGACAGTACCCTCACTTCACAAGCACCTAGACACTGCCAGGCTGGGCAGTGCCCTCACTTCACAAGCACCTAGACACTGCCAGGCTGAACAGTACCCTCACTTCACAAGCACCTAGACACTGCCAGGCTGGACAGTACCCTCACTTCACAAGCACCTAGACACTGCCAGGCTGGACAGTACCCTCACTTCACAAGCACCTAGACACTGCCAGGCTGGACAGTACCCTCACTTCACAAGCACCTAGACACTGCCAGGCTGGGCAGTGCCCTCACTTCACAAGCACCTAGACACTGCCAGGCTGAACAGTGCCCTCACTTCACAAGCACCTAGACACTGCCAGGCTGGACAGTACCCTCACTTCACAAGCACCTAGACACTGCCAGGCTGAACAGTACCCTCACTTCACAAGCACCTAGACACTGCCAGGCTGGACAGTACCCTCACTTCACAAGCACCTAGACACTGCCAGGCTGGACAGTACCCTCACTTCACAAGCACCTAGACACTGCCAGGCTGGGCAGTACCCTCACTTCACAAGCACCTAGACACTGCCAGGCTGGGCAGTGCCCTCACTTCCCCAGCACCAAGACACTGCCAGGCTGGGCAGTACCCTCACTTTACAAGCACCAAGAATGTGTAAGTTAATGGAACAATATGTTAGTGTTTCACCCTGAGACAATTTTCTGTGCATAAAACATAGAAAGATTTGCATATAAAATATTTCAGGTGCTGACACAGTGAAGAAAGAGATGTCCACAATGACTGCCAGATGAACAAAAGGGCATAGATAGAAACTTGAGAAATAGATGAGCAATACAGATGATTAACAATTGTTTTGTAGTTTAAGATTGATTAGTAATAAAATACTGTGAACTATGTGCAGGTTATAGAGCCAGCGAACTCCGAGCACAATTTCAAAAGTACATTTAAAAATAGAAATAGATAGTCATTGCATTAAACACCATAGTGTCGTCATTGTATTAGTGGTTACAGAGTCGGGGTCCAAAACTTAATCTCGACCCTACTGACGGAAATAGGTGAGTACACATCAAATTTGGAAAGAATTAACTCTATATTTCCGTCGTAGGCGCAAGATATTCTGTACTCTGGTTCCGGCGTAAGGTGACCCATCTGTCTGTGATTGTTAACGTGGCATTGTTCCTCTACCTCGTCACCACCTTAACTAGTCACAAAGTGTACAAGTGCCACACACTTGTACCCAAGTAAGTAGTTCTCTCTAACTGTACCGCAAGTGGTTAAAAACGATCCCGTGGTCAGGTCCCGTAGTACATACGAGGACAAAAAAAAGGAATACAACATTGGTTACATGCAGGGTACATGGCTACTTGTCACAAGTTGTAGATCTCCTCCAGCTCCTCAGATGGCGGGCAGGAACCATGGATGCAGTGAGCATTTCCTCTCTGGATCGTCACACTAAGGTGCTAATATATATGACAGTGTCAGACCACGGAAGAAGAACTGAAATAGGAATTTCCTTACGTTCTTTCGTATATTAATATATATATATATATATATATATATATATATATATATATATATATATATATATATATATATATATATATATATATATATGTCGTACCTAGTAGCCAGAACTCACTTTTCAGCCTACAATGCAAGGCCCGATTTGCCTAATAAGCCAAGTTTTCATGAAATAATATATTTTCTCTAATTTTTTTCTTATGAAATGATAAAGCAACCCATTTCATTATGTAAGAGGTGAATTTTTTTTTATTGGAGTTAAAATTAACGTAGATATATGACCGAACCTAACCAACCCTACCTAACCTAACCTAACCTATCTTTATAGGTTAGGTTAGGTTAGGTAGCCGAAAAAGTTAGGTTAGGTTAGGTTAGGTAGGTTAGGTAGTCGAAAAGCAATTAATTCATGAAAACTTGGCTTATTAGGCAAATCGGGCCTTGCATAGTAGGCTCAGAAGTGAGTTCTGGCTACTAGGTACGACATATATATATATATATATATATTTATATATATATATATATATATATATATATATATATATATATATATATATATATATATATGACAGGGTATGCTATATCCGGTTGAGTGACGATAATGTGCGCCTTCATTACCACAACAGAGCCAGGTGTTTGGGTTCTGGGCGCCCTCCCAGGGAGAACACCAATCAACAGCCCACACCGCCCGTAAGGCAAAACACCTCCCAGACTTCATTCCCACAGAAAACTTATTAGAAGCTATCAAAGCAACATCAGTCAGAACCTTGCAACACATCCCTAAAGCAGCCCGCCCCCATGCAGCAGCCAAATTATCTGCCCTCCTGAGAAAGGTCAACGACTCTCCTGGAACGACCCAAGCATGGCACAGCCTCCTACTGTTTGGCAACATATGTCTAGCCACCCCTGCAAGGAGAGACAAGACCTTAGCTGCCTCAATCATCAAAGCTATAAATGATTTTCCCAGGGAGGACAACCAGGTGCGTCTTCCCACTCGTGCGAGAACACCCACGGCAGGAAGAGCAACAGTGCCATATCCGAGACATCAAAAATCAGAACATCAGTCACCAAGAAAATAGAAGAAGGAAACACTATTGGCGCAATAAGAGCCATCACCAGTGAGGACTCAATTGCCGACAGAGATGCCGCAACAGCTCAAGCCCTAAGGGAGAAACACCCACCCAGGGCTCCGCGTGAGGACGACATTGTACAAGTGGGGGCTACCGGAGCAGAACCTCTCTGGGTGGCTGAATCTGTGGTCCATAAAGCAGCCATGTCCTTCCCTACAGGATCAGCAGGTGGGTTCACAGGACTAAAACCCAACCACCTCAAGCAAATGCTCAACCCTGCACTGGGTGACATTGCAAAGAACCTCTTGGTGGAACTAAGCAGATTCACCAACACATGTCTAGCTGGCAACATACCAGCGTCCCTAAGACCTATCTTTTTTGGAGCATCTCTCTGTGCTCTAAAGAAAAAGGATGGAGGGATCAGGCCAATAGCTGTGGGCAATTCTCTCCGGCGTCTCGTCGCAAAGGCAGCTGCAAGAACAGTTAGTGATGCAGCGGCCAACATGCTGAAGCCAAAACAGCTCGGGTTCGGCATTCCACAAGGTTGTGAGGCGGCTGCACACGCAGCTCGAGCTTTCGTTGCTAACATCACAGACGAAAAGGCCCTTATCAAGCAAGATTTCAAAAATGCCTTCAATTTGGTGCGGAGGGATGCTGTACTCCGTGCGGTTCATATTCATTTCCCTTCCCTCTACCCTTTTGTACAATCATGCTACAGTATGGACCTTAAGCTACTTTTTGGCGAACATGAAATTGACTCGCGAGAAGGCGTCCAACAGGGTGACCCCCTTGCTCCTCTCCTTTTCTGCTTAGTCATCAAACAAGTCACAGAGGTCCTGTCCAGCGAGCTTAACATCTGGTTCTTGGATGATGGTACCCTAGCTGGTTCCCAAGACTCCCTCCTGGAGGACATCAGAAAAATCCAGGAGCAAGGTGCAGTTTTAGGCCTCACCCTGAACCCTTCTAAATGTAAAATAATATGTTCCAACCAGGGCATCGTAGAGAGAATAGAGGGTCTTCTGCCAAATATCCATAAAACTAAACCTGAAGACAGCACACTCCTAGGAGCTCCCCTGGGGTTGAAAGCCATCGATGAGGTCCTTGATAAGAAAATTACCGACCTTAAGAGGATGGATGGGAGGATTGAGGATATTGATGCTCATGATGCACTCTACCTCATCACCAGATGTCTGTCCCTCCCCAGGTTAACCTACTTTCTGAGGTGTTCACCATCTTACAGCAGCCAAAAACTAAGTGAGTATGACCGGTTACTGAAATCAATGCTAGAAAAAGCCGTTAACCTCTCTCTTGATGACCTACAGTGGAAACAAACCTCTCTTCCCGTAAGACTTGGGGGCCTCGGAGTTCGAACAGCAACGCAAATCGCTGTTCCAGCCTTCCTGTCCTCCTTATCAGCATCCGACGACCTTGTGAAGGAAATTCTACCTGCCCACTTACATCAGCTGGCAGGTGTACATGATCCCAATTTTACACGCCGTGCCACAGAGTAGGCCTCTCGTGCAGGCTCATCACCTCAACCACTATCCCCAAAAGCCCACAAGCAATCCAGCTGGGATGGCCCCATTGTAGACCAAGTTGCTGCAGAGTGCCTGGGTGCTGCAACAACACAACACGACATTGCTCGCCTCACAGCAGTAGCAGCCCCACATGCAGGGGATTTCCTGTTAGCAACCCCAATGTCGGCAACTGGCATGCGTCTCACACCACACGCCCTCCGAATTGCTGTGGCCCTTCGCCTTGCTGCCCCAGTCCACACCAGATATAGGTGTATTTGCGGCGAGGTGGTGGCTGACAGGTACGGCCACCATGGCCTACTCTGCCAAAGCACAGGGGGATGGCACTCGAGGCACAGTGAAGTTAACGACATCATCAAGAGGAGCCTCACCACAGCTGGATGCCCAGCTGAAAGAGAGCCCCGTTACCTAACGCCCCGTAACTCTGATGCTCTTATTGGTCGCCCGGATGGTATCACAGTGAACCCCTGGAAGAATGTCAAGCAGTTGGTATGGGACTACACGTGCGTATCAACCCTGGCTAACACCTACATTAACCTCAGTGTTGCACAACCAGGTGGCGCTGCCACCCACAGGGAAGCAGCCAAATCCCGTAAGTATAGAGAACTGGATCACCACTACAATTTTGTCCCTATTGCTTCTGAGACACTCGGCGCCTGGGGTAAAAGTGCTACCAGTTTTTTGAAGGAACTGGGTTCTCGGCTCATTGAAACAACAAGGGACCCTAGAAATGCCAGCTTTCTTTTCCAGCGCCTCAGCGTGGCGATACAGAGGAGAAATGCGCACTACATCCAGGGTTCCTGCCCGCCATCTGAGGAGCTGGAGGAACTCGACAACCTATGATAACCATCTTTGTAACCTATATGTAACTCCTTTTTTGTAACAAGGTTCAAATAAAGCAAATATATATGTGTACATACAAAAGAATGGGGGTGGTAGGAGAAGATAATATTAGTGTTCAGTGAGAGACCACAAGGTCTCCTCTGAATACTTTTTATTTTCTTCTCCGAGGCTATGGGTCCCCACATTGGCACCAGAGGTGGTACCCTCACAAATTTTATATATATATATATATATATATATATATATATATATATATATATATAATATAGTGTGTGTGTGTGTGTGTGTGTGTGTGTGTGTGTGTGTGTGTGTGTGTGTGTGTGTGCAGAAAATCTACAAATGGGAAAGAGATGATGAACTTTTCGGCCGCTCAAGGCCAACACCAGACTAAGGGAAACAAAGGGAGGGTGAAGGCAACTGGAAGCTGACCACCCATCCCCAGGAAAATAATTACTCAGAAACAGGTATAGATTTAACAAATCCACAAGGGCCGTGACGAGGATTCGAACCTACGTCCGAGAGCATCCCAGATGTTGCCTTAATCGACTGAGCTACGACATGGTCCTTGTGGATTTGTTCATTTGATGCATCACGCAATTGTGATTTCTGTGTGTAGTGTAAGGTATAGATTTGTTTGGGATAGTCAGAAGGATTAAGTGGTCAGAGAATAAGTATAAAAGGTTAAAGAAAAAGCCTCATAATATATGATAATAATTTTGTATTGAAACATTTTAACCCTCCCTATCAGAGTTTTTTCTTCAGCTGTTTTGTAATACTGCAGCTTAAAACTGGGTCAAGTTTGTACATACCAGTACTAACATTGAGAAGATATGAACATTGACTGGTTAGGGCAAACTCAATCAAATTCCGTTCCACAAAACCATTGCAATTGGTAATGCTTTTCGCTCCATCCCAATTAATAGTGTGAAAGTTATACAAGCTAGGACTCCCCAGAACTTACGGACAACTTATACCCGTGCCACCTCTTGGCTTACTTAATCTTCATAAATCAATCAATTCCACATGAGGTCTGCATGCCCCTACTGAGGGCAGTCCTGGTTTGACATTATAGTCATCAGGCACCCTGGTACATGACATATATCCCCCAGGCACCCTGGTATATGATATATATCCCCCAGGCACTCTGGTATATGACATATATCCCCCAGGCACCCTGGTATATTATATATATCCCCCAGGCACTCTGGTATATGATATATATCCCCCAGGCACTCTGGTATATGATATATATCCCCCAGGCACCCTGGTATATGATATATATCCCCCAGGCACCCTGGTATATGATATATATCCCCCAGGCACTCTGGTATATGACATATATCCCCCAGGCACCCTGGTATATGGCATATATCCCCCAGGCACTCTGGTATATGACATATAACCCCCAGACACTCTGGTATATGACATATAACCCCCAGGCACTCTGGTATATGACATATAACCCCCAGGCACTCTGGTATATGACATATAACCCCCAGGCACTCTGGTATATGACATATAACCCCCAGACACTCTGGTATATGACATATAACCCCCAGGCACTCTGGTATATGACATATAACCCCCAGGCACTCTGGTATAGGACATATAACCCCCAGACACTCTGGTATATGACATATAACCCCCAGGCATTCTGGTATATGACATATAACCCCCAGGCACTCTGGTATATGACATATAATCCACAGACACTCTGGTATAAGACATATAACCCCCAGGCACTCTGGTATAGGACATTTAACCCCCAGGCACTCTGGTATATGACATATAACCCCCAGACACTCTGGTATATGACATATAACCCCCAGACACTCTGGTATATGACATATAACCCCCAGACACTCTGGTATATGACATATAACCCCCAGACACTCTGGTATATGACATATAACCCCCAGACACTCTGGTATATGACATATAACCCCCAGACACTCTGGTATATGACATATAACCCCCAGGCACTCTGGTATATGACATATAACCCCCAGGCACTCTGGTATAGGACATATAACCCCCAGGCACTCTGGTATATGACATATAACCCCCAGGCACTCTGGTATAGGACATATAACCCCCAGGCACTCTGGTATATGACATATAACCCCCAGACACTCTGGTATATGACATATAACCCCCAGACACTCTGGTATATGACATATAACCCCCAGACACTCTGGTATATGACATATAACCCCCAGACACTCTGGTATATGACATATAACCCCCAGGCACTCTGGTATATGACATATAACCCCCAGGCACTCTGGTATAGGACATATAACCCCCAGGCACTCTGGTATAGGACATATAACCCCCAGGCACTCTGGTATATGACATATAACCCCCAGACACTCTGGTATATGACATATAACCCCCAGACACTCTGGTATATGACATATAACCCCCAGGCACTCTGGTATATGACATATAACCCCCAGGCACTCTGGTATAGGACATATAACCCCCAGGCACTCTGGTATAGGACATATAACCCCCAGGCACTCTGGTATATGACATATAACCCCCAGACACTCTGGTATATGACATATAACCCCCAGACACTCTGGTATATGACATATAACCCCCAGACACTCTGGTATATGACATATAACCCCCAGACACTCTGGTATATGACATATAACCCCCAGGCACTCTGGTATATGACATATAACCCCCAGGCACTCTGGTATAGGACATATAACCCCCAGGCACTCTGGTATAGGACATATAACCCCCAGGCACTCTGGTATATGACATATAACCCCCAGACACTCTGGTATATGACATATAACCCCCAGACACTCTGGTATATGACATATAACCCCCAGGCACTCTGGTATATGACATATAACCCCCAGGCACTCTGGTATATGACATATAACCCCCAGGCACTCTGGTATAGGACATATAACCCCCAGGCACTCTGGTATATGACATATAACCCCCAGACACTCTGGTATATGACATATAACCCCCAGACACTCTGGTATATGACATATAACCCCCAGGCACTCTGGTATATGACATATAACCCCCAGGCACTCTGGTATATGACATATAACCCCCAGGCACTCTGGTATAGGACATATAACCCCCAGGCACTCTGGTATATGACATATAACCCCCAGGCACTCTGGTATATGACATATAACCCCCAGGCACTCTGGTATAGGTCATGGTAACATCCGTCATGTACTCCAGCTCCAAATACACAAGGAAGTCACACTAAGGCAGGGCTTCAGATGGGCACTCTTGCCTGTTATATATTATTACAAGTAATGTTGAGACGAAGAAGATATTACCATATTATTTCTTCTTGTATATCAGTCAAAATTATTAAGGATAAAGAAAGCATGTGTTGCTGCGCCTGTGTGTGTGTGTTTGTGAGGCTGTGTGTGTGTACTCACTTGTACTCACCTAGCTGTGCTTGTGTTGCTGCGTGTATGTGTGTGTGTTTGTGAGGCTGTGTGTGTGTACTCACTTGTACTCACCTAGCTGTGCCTGTGTTGCTGCACGTGTGTGTGTTTGTGAGGCTGTGTGTGTGTACTCACTTGTACTCACCTAGCTGTGCTTGTGTTGCTGCGCCTGTGTGTGTGTTTGTGAGGCTGTGTACTCACTTGTACTCACCTAGCTGTGCCTGTGTTGCTGCGCGTGTGTGTGTTTGTGAGGCTGTGTGTGTGTACTCATTTGTACTCACCTAGCTGTGCCTGTGTTGCTGCACGTGTGTGTGTTTGTGAGGCTGTGTGTGTGTACTCACTTGTACTCACCTAGCTGTGCCTGTGTTGCTGCGTGTGTGTGTGTTTGTGAGGCTGTGTACTCACTTGTACTCACCTAGCTGTGCCTGTGTTGCTGCGCGTGTGTGTGTGTTTGTGAGGCTGTGTACTCACTTGTACTCACCTAGCTGTGCCTGTGTTGCTGCGTGTGTGTGTGTTTGTGAGGCTGTGTGTGTACTCACTTGTACTCACCTAGCTGTGCCTGTGTTGCTGCGCATGTGTGTGTGTTTGTGAGGCTGTGTACTCACTTGTACTCACCTAGCTGTGCCTGTGTTGCTGCGTGTGTGTGTGTATTTGTGAGCCTGTGTACTCACTTGTACTCACCTAGCTGTACCTGTGTTGCTGCGCCTGTGTGTGTGTTTGTGAGGCTGTGTACTCACTTGTACTCACCTAGCTGTGCCTGTGTTGCTGCGTGTTTGTGTGTATTTGTGAGCCTGTGTACTCACTTGTACTCACCTAACTGTACCTGTGTTGCTGCGCCTGTGTGTGTGTTTGTGAGGCTGTGTACTCACTTGTACTCACCTAGCTGTGCCTGTGTTGCTGCACTTATGTGTGTTTGTGAGCCTGGGTGTGCATATACTCACCTGTACTCACCTAGTTGTGCTTGCAGGGTTGAGGACCGGCTCTGAAGCCCGCCTTACGACTGTCAGTAATTCATTGTAATAATTGTTTCCATTTTTTTTCCTTATCATATTTACATTTAAAGCTGTATATCGGATTGTCTTTGTCAACATCTTTGGCCCATTGTTCCTTTATATCCTCTCGTTCTTGTGAGTCTCACTTCAAACATTTCTTCTATATCTACTTTATTATTTACACCTAGTATTTTGTACATCATTATCATGTCTGCCTTACTCTTTATTTCTTCTAATGCAGTCTTGCTTCTTAGCTCAGTCCCTTTGCTCTGGAACAAGCGATGTTGCATAACTTAGGATTTTTTCTAGTTTTGTATTTCTTTAAGTATGGGGTTCCATGTTGGGACAGCATACTCATGAATAGGTCTCACCAAATATGTATAAAGTGATTGTGCATGGTATTAGCATGGTAGCATGGTATTAGCATGGTAGCATGGTAGCTGTTTTTTGTTTAGTTTGTTTGTCCAAGTTTCTAACATACAACTTGAGGTGTGCCAGTTTGTTTGTCCAAGTTTCTAACATACAACTTATGGTGTGCCAGTTTGTTTGTCCAAGTTTCTAACATACAACTTGAGGTGTGCCAGTATGGTATATGCTGCTCTCGTTACCCTGCTGATGTGTGCCTCTGGTGTTTGGTCTTGGCCTTAAGTCTTTCTATTTTTCAATAGAAAGATGTTCCACTCGTTTGGAAAGTAGTCTTCCCTTTGTTTTGTACTCCAGTTGAGGTTTTCATACCTCATTTCCTATTCTCATAACCTTGCATTTGTCAGGGTTAACATCTAGAAGCCAATTTTCAAATCATCGCTGGAGATTGTCTTGATCATCTTACAGTTGTGATAGTGTGTTGTGTTCGTGTCCTGTTGCGTGCATGTAACCATTATAACATGTGCGTTAGTAACACATTGTACTAAAATAAACTCACCATTTGCACACTGCCACAGAATAAATGTCAGCGAGGAGTCCCCACAGCGGCGTCCCGACACTGCGACTACATTAACCCTGCAGGAGAAGATGTACGGGGATGCCGGGGAGTGCGTGAGTGGAGGGTTGAAGCCATCCGTGTACCAGAGGGGAGAGTACTGGGTCCTGGAGAACTACATCCCCGCCCTCCGCACCTTCCCCTGTAACCAGTCCATCACCTACACTACCCACGCTGACTACACCTTCCTTCACAACCTGGAGCCCCTCACCTCTCGCTGGCAGGTCTGTACCTCACACTGTGCCTCACCTCCCGCTGGCAGGTCTGTACCTCACACTGTGCCTCACCTCCCGCTGGCAGGTCTGTACCTCACACTGTGCCTCACCTCCCGCTGGCAGGTCTGTACCTCACACTGTGCCTCACCTCCCGCTGGCAGGTCTGTACCTCACACTGTGCCTCACCTCCCGCTGGCAGGTCTGTACCTCATCTCCCGTTGGCAGGTCTGTACCTCACACTGTGCCTCACCTCCCGTTGGCAGGTCTGTACCTCACACTGTGCCTCACCTCCCGCTTGCAGGTCTGTACCTCACACTGTGCCTCACCTCCCGCTGACAGGTCTGTACCTCACACTGTGCCTCACCTCCCGCTGGCAGGTCTGTACCTCACACTGTGCCTCACCTCCCACTGGCAGGTCTGTACCTCACTCTGTGCCTCACCTCCCACTGGCAGGTCTGTACCTCACACTGTGCCTCACCTCCCACTGGCAGGTCTGTACCTCACACTGTACCTCACCTCCCGTTGGCAGGTCTGTACCTCACACTGTGTCTCACCTCCCGCTGGCAAGTCTGTACCTCACACTGTGCCTCACCTCCCGCTGACAGGTCTGTACCTCACACTGTGCCTCACCTCCCGCTGGCAGGTCTGTACCTCACACTGTGCCTCACCTCCCGCTGGCAAGTCTGTACCTCACACTGTGCCTCACCTCCCGCTGACAGGTCTGTACCTCACTCTGTGCCTCACCTCCCACTGGCAGGTCTGTATCTCACTCTGTGCCTCACCTCCCACTGACAGGTCTGTACCTCACTCTGTGCCTCACCTCCCGCTGGTAGGTCTGTACCTCACTCTGTGCCTCACCTACCACTGGCAGGTCTGTACCTCACACTGTGCCTCACCTCCCGCTGGCAGGTCTGTACCTCACTCTGTGAATCACCTCCCACTGGCAGGTCTGTACCTCACTCTGTGCCTCACCTCCCGCTGGCAGGTCTGTACCTCACACTGTGCCTCACCTCCCACTGGCAGGTCTGTACCTCACTCTGTGCCTCACCTCCCGCTGGCAGGTCTGTACCTCACTCTGTGCCTCACCTCCCACTGGCAGGTCTGTACCTCACTCTGTGCCTCACCTCCCGCTGGCAAGTCTGTACCTCACTCTGTACCTCACCTCCCGTTGGCAGGTCTGTACCTCACACTGTGCCTCACCTCCCGCTGGCAGGTCTGTACCTCACACTGTGCCTCACCTCCCGCTGGCAGGTCTGTACCTCACACTGTGCCTCACCTCCCGTTGGCAGGTCTGTACCTCACACTGTGCCTCACCTCCCGCTGGCAGGTCTGTACCTCACCTCCCACTGGCAGGTCTGTACCTCACACTGTGCCTCACCTCCTGCTGGCAGGTCTGTACCTCACCTCCCGTTGGCAGGTCTGTACCTCACACTGTGCCTCACCTCCCGCTGGCACGTCTGTACCTCACCTCCCGTTGGCAGGTCTGTACCTCACACTGTGCCTCACCTCCTGCTGGCAGGTCTGTACCTCACACTGTGCCTCACCTCCCACTGGCAGGTCTGTACCTCACACTGTGCCTCACCTCCCGCTGGCAGGTCTGTGCCTCACACTGTGCCTCACCTCCTGCTGGCAGGTCTGTACCTCACACTGTGCCTCACCTCCCGCTGGCAGGTCTGTACCTCACACTGTGCCTCACCTGCCGCTGGCAAGTCTGTACCTCACACTGTGCCTCACCTCCCGCTGGCAGGTCTGTACCTCACACTGTGCCTCACCTCCCACTGGCAGGTCTGTACCTCACTCTGTGCCTCACCTCCCGCTGGCAGGTCTGTACCTCACACTGTGCCTCACCTCCTGCTGGCAGGTCTGTACCTCACACTGTGCCTCACCTCCCGCTGGCAGGTCTGTACCTCACACTGTGCCTCACCTCCCGCTGGCAAGTCTGTACCTCACACTGTGCCTCACCTCCTGCTGGCAGGTCTGTACCTCACTCTGTGCCTCACCTCCCGCTGGCAGGTCTGTACCTCACACTGTGCCTCACCTCCCACTGCCAGGTCTGTACCTCACACTGTGCCTCACCTCCCGCTGGCAGGTCTGTACCTCACACTGTGCCTCACCTCCCGCTGGCAGGTCTGTACCTCACACTGTGCCTCACCTCCCGCTGGCAAGTCTGTACCTCACACTGTGCCTCACCTCCCACTGGCAAGTCTGTACCTCACACTGTGCCTCACCTCCCACTGGCAGGTCTGTACCTCACACTGTGCCTCACCTCCCGCTGGCAAGTCTGTACCTCACACTGTGCCTCACCTCCCACTGGCAGGTCTGTACCTCACACTGTGCCTCACCTCCCGCTGGCAAGTCTGTACCTCACACTGTACCTCACCTCCCGTTGGCAGGTCTGTACCTCACACTGTGCCTCACCTCCCGCTGGCAGGTCTGTACCTCACACTGTGCCTCACCTCCCACTGGCAAGTCTGTACCTCACACTGTGCCTCACCTCCCGCTGGCAGGTCTGTACCTCACACTGTGCCTCACCTCCCGCTGGCAGGTCTGTACCTCACACTGTGCCTCACCTCCCGTTGGCAGGTCTGTACCTCACACTGTGCCTCACCTCCCGCTGGCAGGTCTGTACCTCACACTGTGCCTCACCTCCCACTGGCAAGTCTGTACCTCACACTGTGCCTCACCTCCCGCTGGCAGGTCTGTACCTCACAGTTAGTTAAGTTTTGGGTTCCTATTTACTACTAAGGAAAAGCCGCATCAGGTGCAAGCAAATGTTGGCAACCGTCTCGACCTTGGTGGTAGTCGCTCCCGGGACCATTCGCTTCATCCATCCATCAACCTCCACCATCCTATATGCAAAACTTTTCCAGTAACCTGCATTAGAGTAAATACGACAATGGTGCAGGAGCCGAGTACCACAGGCAAAGGTTCTCCCGTGAGAAGCGAGGCGTCTCCTCCAGGGTGGAGCTGACACGCCCTCCCAGAGTGTCCTTGTGTCCGCTACTGGCAGGCACTGATGCTGGCAGACTTCACAGACCCAGCGTCCTGTAACGCTGTATTTTATGTGCTGATATTGCTTCATTAGTTTAACATTCCTTAGAACGAAGTATTTTTGTACCCGTGAATGTGGAGGTGTACGCTCCTGGGCCTACACTCACAGGTGTTGGTGTTACAGGGACCCGTGAGTGTGGCGGTGTACGCTCCTGGGCCTACACTCACAGGTGTTGGTGTTACAGGGACCCGTGAGTGTGTCGGTGTACGCTCCTGGGCCTACACTCACAGGTGTTGGTGTTACAGGGACCCGTGAGTGTGGCGGTGTACGCTCCTGGGCCTACACTCACAGGTGTTGGTGTTACAGGGACCCGTGAGTGTGGCGGTGTACGCTCCTGGGCCTACACTCACAGGTGTTGGTGTTACAGGGACCCGTGAGTGTGGCGGTGTACGCTCCTGGGCCTACACTCACAGGTGTTGGTGTTACAGGGACCCGTGAATGTGGCGATGTACGCTCCTGGGCCTACACTCACAGGTGTTGGTGTTACAGGGACCCGTGAGTGTGGCGGTGTACGCTCCTGGGCCTACACTCACAGGTGTTGGTGTTACAGGGACCCGTGAGTGTGGCGGTGTACGCTCCTGGGCCTACACTCACAGGTGTTGGTGTTACAGGGACCCGTGAGTGTGGCGGTGTACGCTCCTGGGCCTACACTCACAGGTGTTGGTGTTACAGGGACCCGTGAGTGTGGCGGTGTACGCTCCTGGGCCTACACTCACAGGTGTTGGTGTTACAGGGACCCGTGAGTGTGGCGGTGTACGCTCCCGGGCCTACACTCACAGGTGTTGGTGTTACAGGGACCCGTGAGTGTGGCGGTGTACGCTCCTGGGCCGGACTTTAACATCACCATCAAGACCATCATCTACCTCAGAGACTGTGTCTCCCAGAACATCAAAAATCAAGTAACCTTTCACATCATCTTCAACGACTTACATACTCCGATGGTAAGCATCAGTGACTGTCCTCGCTGTTGTTCCTCGTGGTCTATGTCCTCGCTGTTGTTCCTCGTGGTCTCTGTCCTCGCTGTTGTTCCTCGTGTTCTCTGTCCTCGCTGTTGTTCCTCGTGGTCTCTGTCCTCGCTGTTGTTCCTCGTGGTCTCTGTCCTCGCTGTTGTTCCTCGTGGTCTCTGTCCTCGCTGTTGTTCCTCGTGGTCTCTGTCCTCGCTGTTGTTCCTCGTGGTCTCTGTCCTCGATGTTGTTCCTCGTGGTCTCTGTCCTCGCTGTTGTTCCTCGTGTTCTCTATCCTCGCTGTTGTTCCTCGTGGTCTCTGTCCTCGCTGTTGTTCCTCGTGTTCTCTGTCCTCGCTGTTGTTCCTCGTGGTCTCTGTCCTCGTTGTTGTTCCTCGTGTTCTCTGTCCTCGCTGTTGTTCCTCGTGGTCTCTGTCCTCGCTGTTGTTCCTCGTGTTCTCTGTCCTCGCTGTTGTTCCTCGTGGTCTCTGTCCTCGCTGTTGTTACTCGTGGTCTCTCTCCTCGCTGTTGTTCCTCGTGGTCTCTGTCCTCGCTGTTGTTCCTCGTGGTCTCTGTCCTCGCTTTTGTTCCTCGTGGTCTCTGTCCTCGCTGTTGTTCCTCGTGTTCTCTGTCCTCGCTGTTGTTCCTCGTGGTCTCTGTCCTCGCTGTTGTTACTCGTGGTCTCTGTCCTCGCTGTTGTTCCTCGTGGTCTCTGTCCTCGCTGTTGTTCCTCGTGGTCTCTGTCCACGCTTTTGTTCCTCGTGTTCTCTGTCCTCGCTGTTGTTCCTCGTGGTCTCTGTCCTCGCTGTTGTTCCTCGTGGTCTCTGTCCTCGCTGTTGTTCCTCGTGGTCTCTGTCCTCGCTGTTGTTCCTCGTGTTCTCTGTCCTCGCTGTTGTTCCTCGTGTTCTCTGTCCTCGCTGTTGTTCCTCGTGGTCTCTGTCCTCGCTGTTGTTCCTCGTGGTCTCTGTCCTCGCTGTTGTTCCTCGTGTTCTCTGTCCTCGCTGTTGTTCCTCGTGTTCTCTGTCCTCGCTGTTGTTCCTCGTGGTCTCTGTCCTCGCTGTTGTTCCTCGTGGTCTCTGTCCTCGCTGTTGTTCCTCGTGTTCTCTGTCCTCGCTGTTGTTCCTCGTGGTCTCTGTCCTCGCTGTTGTTCCTCGTGTTCTCTGTCCTCGCTGTTGTTCCTCGTGGTCTCTGTCCTCGCTGTTGTTCCTCGTGGTCTTTGTCCTCGCTGTTGTTCCTCGTGGTCTCTGTCCTCGCTTTTGTTCCTCGTGGTCTCTGTCCTCGCTGTTGTTCCTCGTGTTCTCTGTCCTCGCTGTTGTTCCTCGTGGTCTCTGTCCTCGCTGTTGTTACTCGTGGTCTCTGTCCTCGCTGTTGTTCCTCGTGTTCTCTGTCCTCGCTGTTGTTCCTCGTGGTCTCTGTCCTCGCTGTTGTTACTCGTGGTCTCTGTCCTCGCTGTTGTTCCTCGTGGTCTCTGTCCTCGCTGTTGTTCCTCGTGGTCTCTGTCCTCGCTTTTGTTCCTCGTGGTCTCTGTCCTCGCTGTTGTTCCTCGTGGTCTCTGTCCTCGCTGTTGTTCCTCGTGTTCTCTGTCCTCGCTGTTGTTCCTCGTGTTCTCTGTCCTCGCTGTTGTTCCTCGTGTTCTCTGTCCTCGCTGTTGTTCCTTGTGGTCTCTGTCCTCGCTGTTGTTCCTCGTGTTCTCTGTCCTCGCTGTTGTTCCTCGTGGTCTTTGTCCTCGCTGTTGTTACTCGTGGTCTCTGTCCTCGCTGTTGTTACTCGTGGTCTCTGTCCTCGCTGTTGTTACTCGTGGTCTCTGTCCTCGCTGTTGTTCCTCGTGGTCTCTGTCCTCGCTGTTGTTCCTCGTGGTCTCTGTCCTCGCTGTTGTTCCTCGTGGTCTCTGTCCTCGCTGTTGTTCCTCGTGTTCTCTGTCCTCGCTGTTGTTCCTCGTGGTCTTTGTCCTCGCTGTTGTTACTCGTGGTCTCTGTCCTCGCTGTTGTTACTCGTGGTCTCTGTCCTCGCTGTTGTTACTCGTGGTCTCTGTCCTCGCTGTTGTTCCTCGTGGTCTCTGTCCTCGCTGTTGTTCCTCGTGTTCTCTGTCCTCGCTGTTGTTCCTCGTGGTCTTTGTCCTCGCTGTTGTTACTCGTGGTCTCTGTCCTCGCTGTTGTTACTCGTGGTCTCTGTCCTCGCTGTTGTTACTCGTGGTCTCTGTCCTCGCTGTTGTTCCTCGTGGTCTCTGTCCTCGCTGTTGTTCCTCGTGGTCTCTGTCCTCGCTGTTGTTCCTCGTGGTCTCTGTCCTCGCTGTTGTTCCTCGTGGTCTTTGTCCTCGCTGTTGTTCCTCGTGGTCTCTGTCCTCGCTGTTGTTCCTCGTGGTCTCTGTCCTCGCTGTTGTTCCTCGTGGTCTTTGTCCTCGCTGTTGTTCCTCGTGTTCTCTGTCCTCACTGTTGTTACTCGTGGTCTCTGTCCTCGCTGTTGTTCCTCGTGGTCTCTGTCCTCGCTGTTGTTCCTCGTGGTCTCTGTCCTCGCTGTTGTTCCTCGTGGTCTCTGTCCTCGCTGTTGTTCCTCGTGTTCTCTGTCCTCACTGTTGTTACTCGTGGTCTCTGTCCTCGCTGTTGTTCCTCGTGGTCTCTGTCCTCGCTGTTGTTCCTCGTGGTCTCTGTCCTCGCTGTTGTTCCTCGTGGTCTCTGTCCTCGCTGTTGTTCCTCGTGGTCTCTGTCCTCGCTGTTGTTACTCGTGGTCTCTGTCCTCGCTGTTGTTACTCGTGGTCTCTGTCCTCGCTGTTGTTCCTCGTGGTCTCTGGCCTCGCTGTTGTTCCTCGTGGTCTCTGTCCTCGCTGTTGTTCCTCGTGGTCTCTGTCCTCGCTGTTGTTCCTCGTGGTCTCTGTCCTCGCTGTTGTTACTCGTGGTCTCTGTCCTCGCTGTTGTTACTCGTGGTCTCTGTCCTCGCTGTTGTTACTCGTGGTCTCTGTCCTCGCTGTTGTTACTCGTGGTCTCTGGCCTTCTGTCTCGCTCCTTGTCCTGTAATTCTATCCTCTTATTTATTTTTATCTATATTCATCTCAACTGAATTCAGGCATCTATTTAAGGACACAAGCCTCATGAATCTATACCTGGATTGTACCTGGATGGGGTTATGAGAGGTCATCTACTCCCCAAGCCCGGCACGAGGCCAGGCTTGACTTGAGAGAGCTTGGTCCAACAAGCTGTTGCTTGGAGCGGCCCGCAGGCCCACATATCTACCACAGCCCGGCTGGGGTGGCACCTCTTGAAGAAAACTATCCAGTTTTTTCTTGAAAACGTCCACGTTTGTTCCGGCAATATTTCTTATGCTCGCTGGGAGTATGTTGAACAACCGTGGACCTCTGATGTTTATACAGTGTTCTCTGAATGTGCCTATGGCACCCCTGCTCTTCACTGTTTCTATTCCGCATTTCCTTGCATATCGTTCACTCCAGTATGTTGTTATTTTCCTGTGTAGATTTGGGACCTGGCCCTCCAGTATCTTCCACGTGTATATTATTTGATACCTCTCTCGTGTCCATTTTAGGGAGTACATTCGGAGAGCTTTGAGACGATCTCAATAATTTAGGTAAGTTATCGTGTCTGTGTATGCTGTGTTTGTTCTCTGTATTCTCTCTATTTCAGCAATCTCCCCTGCTCTGAAGGGAAAAGTGAGTATCAAGCAGTACTCCAGACGGGACAACACAAGTGATTTCAATAGTAAACCATTGTGATGGGATCCCTGGATTTGTAGGTTCTCGTAATCCATCCAATAATTTTTCTTGCTGACGCAATATTTGCTTGGTTATGTTTCCTAAACGTTAGTTCGTCAGACGTCATTATTCTCAAATCCTTTACAAGTTGCTTTCCTACTATGGGCAGATTTGATTGTGTTTTCTATCCTGTATTATGATTAAGGTCTTAATTTTTACCTTGCCTGAGTACCTGGATTTTATCACTGTTAAACATCATGTTATTTTCTGCTGCCCAATCGAAAACTTCATTAATATCCAATTGTAGTTTTTCAATATCTTCAACATAAACTTTTGTCTATATCATACGAGAATTAGAAAAAGCAGTGATGCAAGGACTGAGGTACAGAGATTTTAACTTTGTTTGGACTCGATTTTATTTGGTTGACTGTTAGTCTTTGTGTTCTGATCGACAGGAAATTGAGTCATACTACACAGTCTTACTTTACCAGCTATTCCAACTGACTTCATTTTGTGTGCTATCACTCAAAGGTCACATTTATGGAATGCCTTTGCGAAGTCCGTGTATACCACATCCGTATTCTGTTTTTCTTCTAATGCCTCAGTGATTTTCGTCGTAGTGGTCAAGTAGGTGCGAAAGGAATGATCTTTCAGCTCTAAATCCATGTCGGCCTGAGTTGTGAAGGTCATTTGTTTCCATGAAACTGGTGACCTGACCCCTGATCACTCTCTCAAATATATTTATTGTATGGAACGTTATTGAAACTGGTCTACAATTCTTAACTAATTATTTACTCTTTTCCTTGTGTTGAGGGGAGCAAATTTGTCTACTGATTTAAGCGCATTTGTTATCCCCCCTGAGTCCAAGCTCTTCTTCCACACTATAATGCCGGTGCTACTGGCACTTTGCATTTCTTGGTAAATATTTAATTCAATGAGTCTGAACCCAGGGTTGAATGCATGGGCATGTTGTCAATTTCTCTTTCAAAATCTGCGGCGTTCGAGTTGATATCAGTTATATTCTCAGGGGTTTGAATATCACACATAAGGAAGCTGACCAGATATACTTTCATGCTGGTTTATTGCGGTGATAAACATGTCCTTATACCGGTTTTTTCAGAATTTCACTAATTCCTGTGTCGTCCTCTGTGTAGAAACTTCACTTGTAAGAATATTTCCAATACTGATTGAGGTTTTAGCTTTTGATTTCGCATATGTGAAGAAATATATATTTTTTTATCTACTGTATGACTTTCTGTTTTAATTGCATTTGTACAACCTGATACGAATGCTTCAGTCTCTGCTCGACTTCCTCCATCTCCATGTTTAAATTATTTCTTCTCTGTAGTGATTACCGTCTGCTTAAGCATTTCCATTAATTTTTCCCTTCTTTTGTAGTGTCGTCTGTGTTCTCTTTCTACGTTGGTCCTCTTTGTGGCTTTCCTTTAAGGAACTTGTTTCAGACAGACTTCATATGCTTCTGAAGTCAGTTGTTCTGCTCCTTGTGTAGGATTTGTATTACATAGAACAGTTTCCCAGTATGTTCCCTGTTTATTTTTTTCCAGCCTTAGCTATTATTATTATTAAAATGAATTTACTGAATAACCCCTCTTGATTAATCACTGTTTTAGGCCTATTATGAGTATTGATGTTGTTTGCACTTCAATGAGCTTGTTATCTATGTGGTATCTGAAATTGTAATGTCCCTTATTATGTATTCATTATTTGTGAAGATCAGATTTTGAATATTCTCGTTCATAGTTGGCTCTGTTATCTGCTGGGTGAGTGAACATTTGTCACAGAATCTAAGCAGTTGTCTAATGTGTAGTTGGTTATGTCCAGATAGATTTGCTGGTAAAATATTATTCTTTGTTATTCTCTATTTTAGCCTTAGACTAGACATATTAGGCATATCGATACGATGGAATGTCTGCTTGTCTCTGTTCAAAGTTGGAGGCCAGACGCTGGAGGCTAGTCTTACCCAAATCTGCGGGGAAATTGGTCTGGGATACGGAACAGACATAGGCTGTGTGAGGTAGGCCTATGTTAAATTCTTTAAGAAGTTATAGTAATTAATAGTAAAGACCCTACAGTTGTTTCAGTGCTTTTAAATTAAAAAAATCTGAGGGAAACGGAAGAGTGAGAGAAGGGGGAGGAGCTGGAAGGGAAGGGAGGAACAAGGGAAGGACAAGGCGAGGGAAAAGAGTGGATAAAGAAAAGAAATTATGAAAAATAAAAGAAAATATGAGAAACTCATTTAGTGCTTGTTAATGATCAATTTTCTGAGAGGCAGGAGAGCGAGGGAAGCAGAGGGTAATGGGGGCAGGACGAGGGCAGGGACCAAGGGGAGGGAGACGAGGAGTCAAGGGCAGCTAATCTTAGGTAGGAAACAGGATGGAAGGTGAGAAGGGGAGGAGACCCGGGTGAAGCAGGACACCCCTTCTAAATAAATAAATGGAAATATCTTCTCTGTTCGAGGTTGTAGAGGGAGGGGTGTAGGGACACGGGGGGAGGGAGTGGTGAGGGGTAGAGTGAGAAGGAGAAGAATGGTAAAGATAGGGAAGAGGGAGAGGGGAGAGGGAAGAGTGTGTCCCGATAGTAACAACACATGAACTATGTGTCTCCATAGGGACGACATAACGTGCCGTTCGATTTTTACCTACACGAATTTTCAATCATTTTCAGAATAATGCTTCACATGCCTTCACATGCTTCACAATCAATTATATTGCTTAATATTTCACACATTGTGGTTGGGGCCACTGGTGGGGCCGCAGGTGCCGCCGACGGAGGAGCTGCTGGCGAGGGAGAGCGACTGTGAGCAGCAGCAGCTGGCCAACTTGACGTCGAGGGCCTCGTACCGTCACCAGCAGGGCCTCTTGTACCCCATCAACGTGGCCAGGAACACCGCAAGGCAAGCCGCCCGCACCTACTTTGTCCTCCCTTCAGACATCGAGCTCTACCCTTCCATCAACTTCATCCCTGGTGAGAGACACACGGAGGAGAGAGAGAGAGAGAGAGAGAGAGAGAGAGAGAGAGAGAGAGAGAGAGAGAGAGAGAGAGAGAGAGAGAGAGAGAGAGAGAGAGAGAGAGAGAGAGAGGAGAGGGGGGGGGAGGGAGAGAGTAGTCTTCACATTGATCATGGGAACATGTATTTCAGAGTTCTTCAAGCTGTTGAGTGAGCAAGACGTGACGTCGTACAGCAAGGCTCGCGTGTACATCCTGCCAAGTTTTGAGATCAAGTCACATATACCACCTCCAGCGACGAGGGCCAGTCTCGCCCAGCTTGTCGCAGCTGGAGCCGCCGCCCCACTCTTTACTACTTCCTGTAGAAGTGTTGTTAATACCGACTGGTTGCAGGTAACATCACGTCGGCTCCCTGCACCTGCAGTTTGTTATCTAAGGAAAGGTTTTCAAGTAATCCCATGTAAATATCCAGGAATATCTCGACAAGCTGGGACAAAAGTGTATCACGTATTGACTCATTTGTCCCAGACCTCTTGTCCGTGGGCGTTTTCTTGTCATTATTTGGAACACTTTCGTCTCAGTTCAGCCACAGTCCATTTACCCGTTAACGGACCACGCAAGTGTACGCTCCTACTACAATTAGAAGAGGCACACACGCAAAAAAATTCCGTTTTCCGATAGTTGTCTTCAGATGTCACGAGCATTGCTCAAGACAAACAATATATGTGACATCACAACCAACTCTCCTGAAAAGCTTGACGTGACCGCCATGATGTACACGTCTACGCTTCTCTCAACCCAACACACACGGGAAGAACCGTACTAGTGTCTCTTGTGTTCAATCCCATCATCACGCTACTTGAAACTTATAACAATATTACTGCATTTCACTCATTACCTTAAAACACCTCTTTTAAATTCAACTATAATAATGCATAGTTTAAAATATACCAAAACAAAATACCCTAATATCGTTCTTTTCTGGAAGGACTGGCTCAGCCACTCTGAGGAGTCAGGACTCTCGGTCTTCCATGTGGAGCCAAGTGGACCACTCTACTATAGGTGGGAGCCCGTCTACGTTGGCACCAACGACCTGCCTCTCTACGACGAGCGGCTCTACAGAGAGGGCAAAAGGGATAAGATTTCTCAGGTGAGTTCTCTATCTAAATTTGGACTGCCCAACAAATTATAATATCGAAAACATCGAAGTATTATACTTTAATATTATTAGTAACATTGCCAGTAGGAATAATAATTCTTCAATATGTGGTACAATTATGGTACATGTTGGCTGTATAAACATGAAGCTCGTAATCACCTAGTTGTATTCACCTAGTTGTGCTTGCGGGGAAGGAGCTCTGGCTCTTTGGTCCCGCCTCTCAACCGTCAATCAACTGGTGTATAGATTCCTGAGCCTACTGGGCTCTTATCATATCTACATTTGAAACTGTGTATGGAGTCAGCCTCCATCACATCCCTGCATTCCATCTGTTAACTACTCTGACACAGAAAAAAGTTCTTTCTAACGTCCCTGTGGGTCATTTGGGTACTATGTTTCCACCTGTGTCCCCCTGTTCGCGTACCACCCGTGGTAAACATTTTATCTTTATCTACCCTGTCAATTCCTCTGAGAATTTTATAGGTAGTGATCATGTCTTCCCTAACTCTTCTGTATTTCAGTGTCGTCAGGTTTAGATCCAATAATCTTTCCTCGTAGCTCATTCCTCTCAGCTCGAGGACTAGCCTGATGGCATACCTCTGAACCCTTTCTAACTTCGTTTTGTAATTGACTAGATGTGGACTCCAGGCTGGAGCCGCATATTCCAGTATTGGTCTGATATATGAGGCATACAAGGTTCTGAATGATTCCTTACACAAGTTTTTGAAGGCAGTATCAATGTTCACCAGCCTTGCATACGCCGCCGGTGTTATTCTTTTGATGTGGGCTTCTCTCTTCCTGAGTCCTGAAGGTTTTCCTCTCCCAGCTGATACCTTGTGGTTTCCCTCCTGCTCCCTACGCCTATCTTCATCACTTTTCACTTGATTGAGTTAAATTCTAGTACCCATATGTTGGATCATTCCATCGGTCTGTCCAGGTAATCCTGTAGTCTCTTGCTGTCATCCTCTGTCATAATCCTTCTCATAATTTTAGCATCATCATCATCATACATTGAGAGGAATAAGTCTATACCCTCTCGAAGATCATTCACATATATCAGAAACAAGAGAGATCTGATTACAGAACCCTGTGAGACTCCGCTGGTGACACCACGCCAGTCTAAGGTCTCACCCCTCCTCACAGTAACTCTCTGCTTCCTGTTGTTTATTTACTCCCTTATCCATTGGAGCACCCTACCACCACTTACTCCAGCTTGTTTCTCCAACTTATGGAACAGGCTCTTATAGGGTACTGAGACAAAACTTTCTGATAGTCGAAGCAAATACAGCCTGCCCATCCTTCTCTTTCTTGCTTAATGCTTGTCGCTAGGTCATAGAATTCTATTAAACCTGTGAGACACGATTTGTCCTCCCTAAACCATGCTGGTGGTGTCCCTTCAAAGTCCCTTCTCTCCAGATGTTCTACAAGGCTTTTCTCATGATCTTTACTATCACCATTAGTCCAACAGCCTTAGTCACGTCTAGATCGAGCAGATACCTCCTAATCTCATCTCTGGGAATTTCAATATCTTCCAAGTCTGCTTGGTCTATCGCCAGCCCTTTTAATTCAGGGACTTCTCCTTGCTCTGTTGTGAAGACCACCTGGAATCTCATGTTGAGTTCTTCACACACCTCTTTGTCATTCTCTGTGTGCCCATCCTCTCCCTTTTTTTCAGTTTCATTATCTGTTCTTTCACTGTTGTTTTCATCCTGATGTTTCTGTATAGCAGTTTTGGTTGTGCCTTGGCTTTATTTGCCATGTCATTTTCAAACTGCCTCTCTGCTACTCTCCTCACACTGAGGTACTCATTTCTGGCTCTCTGATATCTCTCTCTGCTCTCTGGTGTCCTGTTATTTCTGTTCTTTCCCCATGCCCTTGTGCTTAGCTTCTTGCTGTCTTACATGCCTGATTTAACCACGGATTTCCTTTTTACCTTTCGTTTCTTTCTTTCTGGACTGTGATTAACCTGTGTTCTGCCTCCTGACACTTCTGGGTGATGTAGTTCATCGTGCCTTGTACAGACTTTCCTCTGAGCTGTTTCCCATAGTGTTACAGTTAGAAACTTTCTAAGCTCATCATAGTTTCCCCTTCGGTATTCCAGCCTTTTACTTTTCGGCCCATTCCTTGGATGGTTTAATCCTACTTCCACCAGTTACTCAAATGTTAGGACACTGGTCACTCATTCCTAATGGGGGGGGGGTGTTCTGATTTGACTTCCCTAATGTCTGACTCGTTCAGGGCAAATACCAGATCAAGTTTGGCTGGTTCATCATTTCCTTCATCATCCCATTGGCCTCCATGCCTTCCTTATCAGCAATGTTGTGTGTTGCTATCAATACGGAGACGTGTATTGATAGTAACACACAACGCCCTCTCTGACGCACTCTGTAAACGCACTCTTTAACTTGTATACATCATTTGGTTCATATCATTCATTCTCATTATTCCCTCCATCAGCACCTTGTGTATTTACTCTCATATGCTTGTACAATGTTGAGAGTTGAGAGAGAGAGAGAGAGAGAGAGAGAGAGAGAGAGAGAGAGAGAGAGAGAGAGAGAGAGAGAGAGAGAGAGAGAGAGAGAGAGAGAGAGAGAGAGAGAGAGAGGGGGGGGGGGCAGTGAGAATGGTGAGGGGGAGATGAGAGGAAGAAGGGAGACATTTTGTGGGAGACGGGGAGAGAAAGGTGGGGGAGAGTGAGAGAGAGGGACAGTTGGAGATGGGGAGATGGAGAAATGGGAGGAGAGTAGGTGATTGGGAATGAGTGAGGTGAGGAGGATATAGGAAAAGGGTGAGAGGGCGTATAGAGGGGATACTGGGAGACAGGGAAAGAGTGAGAGGGGTAGTAGGAAGACCCGGGCTGGGCCGGGTATCCCATCAGGTATATAACATGCTGTTCATATGTTCATATACACACACTCGATGTTGGACACTGACGCGGGTGTGCGCGCGCAGATGTACGCTCTCTGCGCCAGGGACTACGACCTCCACATTCTCAACAACGCCTTCATGGTGGGCAGCGCCGACATCCTGAAGACGGAAGTCTTCCGTAGCGACGTCAAGCAGCTCTCCCTCACTGTGGAAGAAGTCATACCTGAGCTCACCATACTCTTTGGCCTCAGTCACAAGTGCGCAACTTTATTGGGGTAGAGAATGTATGCGAAAAATAAAACATAGATTAAAATTAAATAATATACAAGAGTCTGGTAGTTGAATTTTGTTATTTCTTTTTTACTTTACTAGGAACAAGTATGGACCATTAAAAATAAATATTTTGCATTTTTTAATACCACAAGGAAGCCTATATTCGCGTCTTAAGCTTTTTATGAAGAAACTCGGACGATCTGAAGCCTTTGTTTATATTTACTTCAAGCACACAAAATATTCTTGTTACAGGCAAGTTGACAACTCTTCCCTTCTTGTATATATTTGTTTGTTAAGGAAACTTAAGGCAAAATCAGAATAAAAGATTTAAGAAACCCAGAAGTATTATACTGTACTAACTTATTTATATCAGGAAACCAACAAAAAAATTATCATCTTCGCTGTTAAACTTTTGGCTACGACGTTGTTTACTTCAACATTATATTAAAGTATATATATATATATATTAAAGTATAAATATATTAAAGTATACATATATTAAGGAATACATATATTAAAGAATACATATCCTTGTAGCTTTAATCCAGCCTTGAGTATTTGTTTCACACGCTACACACTTGTTTTTGTTCTTAATATTTGGGATTAACTGTTTGTTTGTAGATGTTCGAAGGACCACAAGACCTAACCAATATCTTACAGAAATGTTTTAAACACCAAATAAAACAAAACTGAGTATAACACTTTTTGCTGTTTTCCTGATTTGTTCAGAAGTCATCCACAGAGTCGCTCTTATAGTAATTATTATTCATTTTATAAGCAACGCACCCTCCTACTGTCCACTATACGTGGGTCGTCCTCTCCGGAACTCTCACTCCCTATTTCACCCGGCTTCTTTTCCCTCTTCCTTCATACTCCTTCCCCTCTTACCCTCTTTCCTCTCTCTTCTCTCTCATCTCACATTTTCCCCTTCTCCCCCACTCTCCCTCTCCTCCATATTTCTAATCTCCCCTCCAACCTCGAACAGACATTACAGTTTTTACATTTAGAAGGGATACCTGGCTGCATCTGGGCCAATTCCCACTCTCTTCACACCGTTTTCCCACTCCACCTTGACCCATCGTTCTCATCCCCTTGGTCCTCTCATCTTTCCCCGCTCTCAGAAAATTTATACTGAACCCAGAAAACAATTTTAGGTTGCCACAACGTATCTAGAAAGTGTTTTAAAGTATTGGCAACGTTTGTTTTCACGCATTAGATGCATAATCTTGTGTGGATGTAAATAAGTTTCTAAAACGTATTGCACGAAACGTTGCCTAAAAACAAAATTGAAACCTTGTGGCAACCTTAAATGTTTCATAATCGTAGTTTTTTATTGCTGTTATTTCTATAAATGTAGAAATATAAAAGTATATTTCTACATTTAGTAAAATGAAACAAGGTCATAATAAAGGTTAATTCATCATTTTTACTCATACTCTTAGGAAGAGGTCGAGGAGGAAGGAGGAGGAGGAGGTCGAGGCAGAGGAGGATGAGGTAGAGGAGGAAGTTAAAGAGGACGTTGAGGAGGAGGGCGAGGAGGAGTAGGGCGAGGAGGAAGGAGGAGGAGGGCGAGGAGGAAGAAGGAGGAGGAGGGCGAGGAGGAAGGAGGAGGGCGAGGAGGAAGGAAAAGGGCGAAGAGGGAGGAGGAGGAGGAAGGAAGAGGAGGGCGAGGAGGCAGGAGTAGGGCGAGGAGGAAGGAGGAGGGCAAGGAGGAGGGTGAGGAGAAAGGAGGAGGAGGGCGAGGAGAAAGGAGGAGGAGGAGGGCGAGTAGGAAGGAGGAGGCCGAGGAAGGAGGAAGGAGGAGGGCGAGGAGGAAGGAGGAGGAAGAAGAAGAGGAGAGCGAGGAGGAGGGCGAGGAGGGAGAGGGAGGAGGAGGCGGGTGAGGAGTAAGGAGGAAGGCGGGAAGGAAGGAGGAGGAGAGCGAGGAGGAAGGAGGAAAAGGAGAACAAGGAGGAAGGAGGAGGAGGGCGAGGAGGAAGAAGGAGGAGGAGGGCGAGGAGGGCAAGGAGGAAGGAGGAAGAGGGCGAGGAAGAAGGAGGAGGAAGGTAAGGAGGAAGGAGGAGGAGGAGAGCGAGGAGGAAGGAGGAAGAATTCCAGGTAAGAGGATGAGATCGAGGAGAAAGGAGGAGGTCGAGGAGGAAGGAGGAGGAGGGCGAGGAAGAGGAAGGAGGAGGAAGGTAAGGAGGTTATCTTGAGGTTATCTTGAGATGATTTCGGGGCTTTTTTAGTCCGTCGGCCCCGCGGCGAGGAGGAAGGAGGAAAAAGGAGAGCGAGGAGGAGGAGGGCGAGAAGGAAGGAATTCAAGGAGGAGGAGATCGAGGAGGAAGAAGGAGATCAAGGAGGAAGGAGGGGAGGAGGTCGAGGCAGAGGAGGAAGGAAGATGAAAAAGAGGAAGGAGTAGGTCTAAGAGGAAGGAGGAAGAAGAAGGAGAGGAAAGGAGGAGGGGTCAAGGAGCAAGACGTCTGGGGGGGGGGGGAAGGGGGGAATTAGATAATGGAGGAGAAGAGGAGGGGGAAGAATAGCAGGAGTAGGAGTAGTACAGGTAAGAGGGGGGGAGGGGGGAAGAGAAGGCAGGGGCTGAGCAGGGGGAGGGGTAAGAGAAGGAAGGAAGGAGGAGAGCAGGGGGGAGGGGTGAGAGAAGGAAGGGGTAGAGCAGGGGGAGGGGTAAGAGAAGGAAGGGGAAAGAGCAGGGGGAGGGGGAGAGAGAGAAGGAAGGGGAAGAGCAGGGGGAGGGGTAGGAGAAGGAAGGGGAAGAGCAGGGGGAGGGGTAAGAGAAGGAAGGGGTAGAGCAGGGGGAGGGGTAGGAGAGGGAAGGGGAAGAGCAGGGGGAGGTGGAGAGAGAAGGGTAGAGCAGGGGGAGGGGGGAGGAGAAGGAAGGAAGGAGCAGGGGGAGAGCAGGGTGGGCAGGAGAGGGTAGGAGAAGGAAGGGGAAGAGCAGGGGGAGGGGTAAGGAGGAAGGAAGGGTGTAGAGCAGGGGGAGGGGGGTAGGAGAAGGAAGGGGAAGAGCAGGGGGAGGGGTGATAGAGAGAGGAGGGAGGGGTAGAGCAGGGGGAGGGGTAGAGGAGAAGTGGAGAGAGGGTGGTAGAGCAGTGAGAGGAGGGAGGTGAGAGAGAAGGAAGGGGAAAAGAGCAGGGGGGAAGGAGGGGGTAGACAGGGGGAGGTAAGACAGACAGGGCTGAGCAGGTGGAGGGGGTGATGGTCACTACGTGAGGGTATAAACACTGGCCCACCACCCGGGTGATGGTCAGCTGACCCTCGCCTGGTGGACCCTCACCACAACCGTCGCTGCCTCACCAATCTGCATGTTCACTTAATAATATTAATTTAATTTATTAGTAAAATCAGAGATAAATTAATGTAAAACATTATTATCTGATTCTTTATTTTTCTTGCTGTATTTGATGAAGATGAACACACCATAGTCATCTACCAAGACATGCCTGTTTAATCCAGCGCCCTAACACGTCATGGCAACTGTGTAGGCCTATAGTGTACATGCCCCAGCCGTCACACAGATCCCGTTACACTCCCTCCCCACCTTCCTCTCTTCCCTCCTATCCTCTTCCCCTTCCTCCTTCTCATCCCTTTCTCTTACCCCTCCCCTATTCCCCTCCTCTTTCCCTTCCTTCCACATCCCTCTTCTCTTACCCCTCCCAACTCCCAAGCACCCTTCCCTTACCCCTACCCCATCCGCCTCCCCCTTCTCATACCCCTACCCCATTCTCTTTCCCTTTCTCTTACCCCCTCCCTTCTTTCCCCTCCTCTTCCCCTTCCTCCTCATTTTATCAACTCCTTCTCTTCCCTTCCTCCCCTCCTCCTCATCCACCCTTCTCTTACCCCTCCCCCCTTATTAACCCCTTTTTTATACCCCTCCCTCTCCTCTTACCCTTCTCTTTACCTCCTCTCTCCCCCTCCTCTTCCCCTTCCTCCTCATCTCCGTCTGTTATCCCCCTTTTCGTCTCCCTCCTCATCCCCCCTTCTCTTACCCTCCCCACTCCTTACCGCCTCGTTCTCTTACTTCTTCCCCCTACCTCCCCCCCTCCACTTCCCCTTCCTTCTCATCCCTCTCCCTCACTCCTCTTCGCCCTCCCCAGTTTACCTCTAACTACTTATACCCCTGCTATTCTCCCCCCTCCTTTCTCCTCCTTCACTTAGTTCCCCCTCCCCGAGGTCCTCCTCCTTGCACCTCCCCCTCTTCCTCCTTCCTCCTAGACCTACTCCTTCCTCCTCTACCTCATCCTCCTTCCTCCTCATTCTGTTCCTTACGTACCTTAAAAGTACGAAAATGAGTTTTGGAGAACTCCTATTCCAATTAAGCCCTGATGCTAAGAAAATAGTTAGAGGGATAGAAGCCCTAAACCAGAAAATAATAAATACAGAATATGCGGTCATATTCAATGAAACATGTTTGAAAGAAAACCTGCTGCCAGTATACACCAATATAAACCCACATGACCCAGCAGTCCGCAATACAGAGTTTACCTATAGGTTAAGGCAAGAGCTCATTCGGCATCAACTAAACAAGAAGAAGGAAGCCCTCCAATCCTTTATAGAGCAGGCGGAGCATCTGTTAAACAAATGGACCCAGTACGACATCCCTATCCAACTCAAGCAAACCATCAACAGTGAACTATTTAACCTGAAACAACAACATAAAACTCTTGTAGAAACAAAGACACTCCGTAAGTTAACATCCCTAAACGGTGGACAGCTAAAAATCCCTCGTCCTAAAGATGGCTACTTTAACCTGACTTCTTATGATCTTACCCAGGACCAACGAGACCTCTTAAATCTTGGTCTAAATTGTCAATTCTTATCTAAACCAAAGATGCATCAAAAACGCCTGGAAATCGAAATGCTTCTGGACGATATCCATAAGCTAGAAGACAACAAAAAAGTCATCACCACGGACACACTTCAAGCTGAACTACTTGCAGAAGCAGGAAAAAAAAAACGAGGAAACATATTCATCTACAATCTTAACCCACGACTCAAAGAAGCAGCGAAACAACTAAAAAATCTGAAAGACGTAACAATAAGAAAAAGCCGACAAAACAGCAGCATATGTATTGATTCCTACCCATGAATACATGAACAAAATTAGCGACATCCTAAGTGACGACTCCAAATTTCAACGAATCACGAGGAACCCCGTAGAAGACCTTAAGCGGAAAGTAAACAAAACATTACAGCAATCAACGCAAAGAAAGGTAGTGTGCATTTCAATAAACTTCAAGGCGACTATGGCTTAGGATATGCCTACGGCAATGTTAAGACGCATAAACCAGGTAACCCACTACGCCTATAATCAGCCAAATACCAACCCCAACTTATCACCTGGCAAAGAAACTCAATGAACTCCTAACTCCATACACTCCAAGTAAGTTTAGTCTACAATCATCAGCAGACTTCCTAGAATTGATCAAATCTACCCAGCCCGATGGAATCATCGCTTCCCTGGACGTTGAATCCCTTTTTACCAACGTCCCAGTCGACACAACCATAGGAATGATACTGGACAGAGTATACA